AGTTTGCGTCCAAAGCAGCCAACCAGCTGACTCCACAACTGAGCAGCTTGGAGTATTGGTGCAGAAAGGTGAAGGTTGCGTCGTTCAAGGCCTCGAGCACGTTGCCTGAGACCTACAAGCACTTCATAGAGAAGATGGATGACGCCTTGACCCGCACCCCCCAGCAGGGCGACGAGAACATGCGATGGCGGCTGAAAGGTCTCCTCCGCCAAGGACAACTGTTTGATCACCTCGACCAGCAGGACGAGGCGCTGAGACGCTTGGAGCTCGCGAGGCATGAGAGCGAGAAGCTCTCGGAGTCCGGGGGGATCCGGCTGAAGTACCTGGCTAAGACGCACTTCCATGCCGCTGTCTGGTGTGACAAGCAACTGAAGATGCATGGGGAGGCAAGCGACAAATCAGACGACGCACAGAAGGCGATGGAATGCGATCAAGTCACAGTCAGGATTGTCGGCGATGACAAGAAGTATTTGGACATCTTCCTCGAGAGTTTACTTTCAGCCATCACGTTTGGCTTTGATAAGGCGAAAGATTATCTACCACGATTTCTAGAGATCGTGGAGATGATAGGAACCGCAGAGCGAAATAACATTGCAAGCTTGTTTGAGTCGAGGAAGTTTTCAGTACAACCATTCATCCAATGGTTGCCACAAATCATCTTCTTCCACAAGAAATTCTCGGACGACAATCTGAGCGCTTTTCTCATCCGTGAACTGTCTCTTCTTTACCCGCAGGCAGTTTATTTAGCTTTTCAAACAGAATTTGGAGACAAGCCTGATTCTGGACAGGATCAACTGTTCAACAAGTTGAAAGTCAATCGGAAGACGCTTGATGACGTTCGCGGCGCTTTTCGTCTACTGCAGGACCCCCTGCAGCAGATTATGGACGTTGAGAAAAACGTATTGAAAAAAGTGATGACTGCGGAGGCGCGAAATCAGATGTCACTGATGGTATCGGACTTTAAAGACCGTCTGGAGGCGAGTAAGATCAGAAAAGAGTTGTTGAAAGAATCAACTTTCAAGTCTTTCTTCAATAAGATAGCGGAGAAAAAGAACAGACCCAATGGCCTGTCTGACAAACAACTCCGAGAAGAATGGAAGCAGAAATTCAGTGACAAAGAGACTGTCACGATGTACTCCACGTACCTCTCTGAGTTCGAGGGAAAGTTTGATGATGAGGAAGCGGTGATCATTCCCTATCAAGTCATCGGGGTACCAACCTTGCTGTCCGAGTCGCAGTGCCCCAAGCTCATGTCACTTGACGACCGGATGACTTTCTTCTCGTCCCTGAGAAGACCAGTGAGAATCTCGTTGAGAGGGTCGGACGGCAAAGATCACAGGTGGATAGTGAAGGGCGGCGAAGACCTGAGGCAAGACGAACGGCTGCAACAAGTGTTCGGCATCATGAATCGCCTCATGGCGTCAGACGCCAACTGCTCCAAGAAGAGCCTCAGCCTCATCACCTACTCCGTTGTGACTTTGAGCAAGTCCATGGGCCTCCTCGAGTACGTGGAGGGAACTCGAACTTTAGAGCAGTTCATCGAGACGAGGTAGGATGACGCTCCTCGTAGAACCTCAGTGTTTGTGGTGGTAGAGAGAGTGGCAGGATTTGGGTTGTCAGCGCGTTTGGAGGCATTTTGTCATCGAGTTGTTGACGTTTTTGCACAGGCAATATCAGAAAGGCAAAACTGGATACCTCAATATGTACTTGGACAAGACAAGTGAAAGAGATCCTTTGTTTGTGACTCTTTGGTCCAAGTCTATGAAACACGAAGACATCACCCAGAAGTTTAACAGGCTCATTGATCAATTGGACCAGCTCAATTTTCGCAATTCTCTGCTGTCTGGAACAAGAACCGCAAAGGTGAGAAAGGCGAAGAGGTTTAGGTGCGATGATAGGCTTGTTCGACAGGAGGAGTACGACAAGAGGTCGAAATTCATCAAGACTCTTGCAGCCATGAACGCTTGTCACTACATTGTTGGGATAGGTGCGATACCTGACTGATGGCGCTGACACTAGTAACACGTGCGGGCAGGGGACAGGCACCTCGGCAACTCTCTCGTCCTCGAGGACGGCAGGATCCTCGGCATCGACTTCGGGCATGCGTTCGGAAGCGCGACCATCCAGCTGCCCATCCCCGAGCTGGTTCCGTTCCGGATGACCCCTCAGGTGAGGAGGAGGTTGTGACGGAGGCAACCTGAGGCTGCTGCTAGTTCATGGGGGTGCTCTACCCTGTCGATGCTAAAGGAAGCATGAAGCACACGATGGCTAGAGTGCTGAGGACCCTCCGAGACCATCGGAGAACCTTGCTTCATGTGCTCTCCATGTTCGCCAAGGATCCGGTCTTGGCCAAGAAAGAAGAAGCTCTGCAGTGTATCCATGTAGGTTGTGACAAGGAGGAGAACACGTTATGAGAGGTTTGCAGGTTGTGAGGGATAAGCTAGATGGGAAAGATCCCTTCGAGATTGTGAAGAGTGAGATCGAAAGGAACAAGACGGATGTAGTTCGGGGCTTGGTTCGACCCTTGAATCAACTCGTTGACCGTGCGAAGAATGCTGGGGGATGCTCGACAAAGCAGGAGCTGAATCCTTTCGAGCAAGTAGATGCTCTCCTGCAGATCGCAACCTCAAGAGACATTCTTGCAAGGTTTGTTGTTATCCTATTTCCTGAACATCTGCTGACGGAGCACGTCCCTCATACAGAGCTTATTACGGTTGGGGCCCCTTCGCCTAGCTTCAAGGCTTCAAGCTATCATGTACTTTCATCGTCTTGTAACTAAAAATGCCATGTGAGCCGTGACGGTGACACCTCCAGGCCTGGGCACCGTGCCACAGATTGTGACCTGGCAACTCCGGGCCCGGGCACTGCTGAGCGGCTGAGAGAGGGTCCGGCAGCAGGTCCGGCAGTCCGGCCGCAAGCTGCACTGCTGAAGTCCGGCAGCCTAGCCGGCACTGCAGCCCAGCCGCTTGGTGCGGTGGTGGCCGGGCCCTGGCCGGCCGGCCCCGCCCTGGCTGCCGCCCTGGGGCCGGCCCTGGGGCCGAAGGGGATGAGGTCCATGAGATGCGGCCATGGCAATTTCGACTAGCAGCAGCGGCAACAGAGGGGAGAGGAGAGAGGAGAGAGGAGATGATGGAGCGGAGGGAGAGGAGAAAGGGACGGAATGTGCATGACGAAAGGCATGTTTGATAGAGAGGGAGATTTTGATTAGGATGCTCAATGTTTGACTGGAGAAAAAGGTTGAGTCCGGAGTTCCTTCAAGGCAGTACCATGGTTTGAACAGGATGAGCAGCTCCAACCAAAGGCTCTGCTTGCAGCTCACAATCTTCTTGATCTCCACATCTTTCCTCAGCTTGAATGGAGACTGGCAGCAAGAGCAACAACTCCGCCAACAAACCTCTTGCGTTGGGATTTTCCTTCTCCGGGAGCGAGGAGGGAGGGCTCCCGTGCGGTCCAACAGGTGGAGGCCAGCAAGGGCGGAGGCGCCCATCCATCAGCAGAAGAAGAGCGGTGCAGCGTTGAGATCTTCCTTCCAGCGCAAGCTGAACCTGCTCAACATTCGGTCGAGGAAGCTGAAGGCGTACAAGGAGAAATGGGGGCAGGAGGAGGCGACGGTTAGCTCTGAAGTGATTGAAGAGGAAAAGAATGCTAGCTCAGCAGGAAGGCCGGCAAACAACGTCTCAGCTGTAACCTCTGATAAGCTGACGAATCCAGATCAAATCCTCCGCCGGTTGAACAGCACCGGGGTCTGTCGATACGAGGAGTTGGACTCTAAGGTGAAGACATACATTGTTCAACTGAAGAAGGCAGGGAAGCGAATAACACTCGTGAATGCCTTGAGGGAGTTCGAAGAGTATCTGATGAAACCAAAGTCGTTCAAGCGGAGAGTGAGGAACAAGAGCGCAGTACTGACTGGGCTGCTCTTGAAGTGCATCAAGGACAAGAAACTGGCTCGATCCAAGAACCCTGACCAGGAGCAAGAGGATGACCAGTATGCGTTGAGAAAGGAGGAGTGGTCGAAAGAGCTGAACTTCTGGACTTCAATCGATCCAAAGGGCAACAACGTGGTGAAAGCGGAGGTGGACAGCGTATTGCAGAAGCAGTACCCCACGGTGTTATCGAAGAGATCTTTCCGGTTCGATCAGTCCCAAGAAGTTGTTCTGAACATCGTCAAGATGAAGAGCCTGCTGTTCTTCGGCCTCGTCTCTCATAAGTGCTACAAGGACGACACTCCTCTCTCTTGCTGGTGGGGCAACCTCAACATGACCGGGCTCGTGACGTACCTGGTGACCAACGGGAGGATCCTGGACGGGGGAAGCCTGCTGTCAATCTCAGGGGCAAACTTCTCGGAGGGGGATGAAGTCTCCTTCCGGTTTGTTCCGGACAACAGGAGCATCTGCATCATGAAAGATGGTCACGTGTTGGCAAGCTTCGAGAACAAATTTACGAGAGGAAGGGTCGCCGTTCAGTTCAAGAATGCTGGGGACATGGTGAGTTTAACGGGATCAAGAAAAGTTCCTCGGATGGAGAGCAATATCTCAGAAGATCTTCATGAAGAGACGATCAACGTAACAGCCAACAACTCGGTGGCAACGGCGGATGCCAATGTGTCGGCTAACCCTTCCCTAAAGTCTCCCTTCGGAGGTAGGAAGTTGTTTGTTGGAGGGACCAGAGAGCTTGACTCTGAGGAGCTGAGAGAACATTTTCGACGGTTTGGTGAAGTGGCGAGTGCTGGGGTGATCCGAGACAAGGAGAGGAGGAAGAGAGGGTTTGGGTACGTCACTTTCTTCAACTTGCGAGACGCAAACAAGGCCTTGAAGAAGGGAAAGACAACTCACAAGACTAAGACGAGCTTTGCTTCGATGCACATTCGAGCTTGTCAGGTAGAGACGAAGACGACGCAGAAGCTGGATGAGAAGACAGCCAAGATCCTGGAGGCGGCAGAGAAAGATAAGCTGCTCAAGAAGACAATCGAGGACTACAAGAGGATGGACCTGGAGGAGATGAAAGAGAAGGAGAAGAATGCCAAGGTCACGAAAGCCGTGTCTCTGGATTGCGAGATGGTTGGCGTCGGGGAACGAGGAAGGGACAGCTGCCTGGCCCGTGTCACCATCGTCAACGAGTTCTTGGACGTCATCTACTTCCGCAACGTCATCCCCTCCCAGGAAGTGACCGACCTCCGCTCCCACATTACCGGCCTCACCCTTGACGACCTGAAGGAGGAGGCAGGAGCCGTTCCGCTGGAGACCGTACAGCAAGAGGTCAGCTCCCTGCTCAAGGACAAGATTCTGGTCGGGCATGCTCTCCGCAACGATCTCAGCGTTCTCATGCTCAGCCACCCTGTCCGTAGCACACGGGACACTGCCAAGTTCAAAGTTCTTCGCCAAGCTGGGAGCAACGGGATGCCCCGGCTGAAGGATCTGGCGGCCTTTCACCTCAACCAGAAGATACAGGACGGGGTCCATGACCCCATCGAAGATGCTCGCGCAGCCATGCAGCTCTACGTGAAGTTCAAAGACATGTGGGAGAGCAGTTATGACGTCTATGCTTGCAAGGTGCGATGCTTGCCCGATGTGCATGCTTGTTGATTCTGACGCTGTTGACTTGGCAGGCGGACAATCAGATCAAGATGAAACGGAGCAGATTGAAGAAGTAGAGGAGCGGACTGAAGAAGTAGACGAGTCGAGCGATACAAGAGACAGATCTAGGGTTCTTCATTATTCATTCACTTCTGCTATTTTCAATGGTCCCCTATGTTCCATTCTAGGATTTCACTCACGATTCTCTATCATCGTTTAGCTAAAGCGCAAGTAGCTTATCTATTAAGCTAAAGCAATATCCACCTCCTCACTTGTGGCTTCTCCCTGACAAGAGACTTGAACTTGACTGGCAGGCGCTACGGCAGAAACACTTGCGGTCGCTTGAACGAGGCTGTACTTATCTTTGCCTTGTCCATGCCTCTGTCGTCGCCAAAAGACGTACCACGACGCCGTGCTCAGTATCCCTCCGATGCACAAACCAACGCAGGCAAAGGCCCAGACGATGAGGTTCTTGTCTTGCAGCTTCTCAGCGCACTCTTGATCATACACCTCCGGCTCTCCTTGCTTTGTCTTCCATACCAGGTAACTGTGCATCTACATGGAGGATGTTAGTTCGTATCTCACACAAGTGACTTCGCTTCTCTTCACCATCATGATCTGCATGTTCTGCGTGTTGATGATGTCAAGCAGAAGGTTTTCCACAAACGCGTCACCCCCGAGCTGTTTGTCCACATCCCGCACGTGCTCTTTGTCCAACTTCAACACGACCTTCGCCATGTTCACCGCGTTCTGAGAGACGGCAAGTCAACCGAGTCAGCACAGCACCAGCGGGGCGGAGAGCACCTGATGGTGGGGGATCATCTGCCGCATGAAGGTGGATATCGGGTCGTCGGTATGAGTGACCCGCATGTTGTAGTTCATGTGACAGTCCACCCCCTCCATGCACCTCTTGAAGGTCGTTGCAGGACCGCACAGGGCCTTCGTCTCGCACTTCCCTATGAACTTGGCCGGGCCATCGTTGTCCCCGTACTCCGGAGCTGGGGGTGTCCCGCACACTTCATCGTCCCTGCTCAGCACCGTCGGGCTGTACAGCACGACGTCCTGCTGATTCTTACGTGGGGTTCCGTCCGGGTTGACGACGATGATTTTGCCGCTCATCCATCTTGCTCTACGGTCAGTGCAGGGGAGAGCAAGGGGCAGGGACTGACCTGTGGACGTGGCAGAAGTAGTAGATCTCCGCCGTTGCTTCATCCTCGATCCGTAGCAAGACGCTGTACTTGTTCCTCGCCCACAAGCTCAGGCTGTGATCTTGGAAGTGACTCTCGTAAGTTTCCAGCCCGAACTCACCGTCGCCCATCCCCGCATACGGATCCTCGGGGGTGGAGAGAAGGCCCGTGCGTCCGAGGAAGACGTCCCCGCTCTTGCCTCCGTGATACCTGGGGCTCTGACATGTCTTGGACTCATCGCATTTTGACTTGCTGCCCGGGGGCTTCACTCCCGGCTCCAACTCATCCCTCCCGTCATGGGCTCCATCAGGGCCGTAGGCAAACCCGAGGGGATGTAGCCAGTTTGTCTTCTCAGTCTGAACAAACTTGTACGTTGAGTTGGCCCTGATCTTGATCGTTGGCCTTTGCGATCCCTTGCAGTTGGTGAATGAGAAGTATCCAGTGGAAGAGACGAAATAGTTGAGCTTCACTTGAAAGATAAAGGGATTCGCCTCGGTACCTGCTCCCGACACAGGTTCACACGGCTCGATGTCAGTCCCTTTCAGGACATCTCCCTCCGGCACTTCATAGTCATCAGGCATTGGGGCACTCGATTCTTCCGCATCGGAGCAGACGATGAAAACTAGCAGCACACAAAGACCTGCTACGAGAGAGCGGGAAGTCGCCATGAAAGCACAGCCTGGAAAAGAAGAGGAGATAGAAGGAAGAGAGAGATGGTAGAAGGAAGAGAGAGAGGACAGGGGAGCGGGAAGGGGGGTACAAGGAGGGATAGAAGGGACGCGAGCCAAATCCTTGCCTCGTCTCGGTCGGCCTTGAGGACCCTCCTTATACCCTGTGAATTGGGGTGGGGTGAGGAAGAGGGCCAGGGTTTCCATTTTTTTCTTTGACAATGCCTCTGGTCAAACGCTAGTCAAACGCTAAGTTGAGTAAAAAACTGATCAGAGACTGCTCGGGTCAGCCATCACGATGGCATCCGATGATCCTCACTGGCCTTTGAGTAAAAAGACATGATGTCACTGTGTTGGCTTGTGACTTCCGACTTGCCACTGGGCCACTGAAGTTGTGACCGTACTAGGCTATTGGTCCCTCAGTGTACGTGCGCAGCCTACCGAGACGTGACCGTACGTTGCTGCCGGCGGCCGGGCGGCGCGCCTTGGCAGCACAACGGCTGAGTCAATAGTTTCCCTTTTTTGATTTGCCTCACAGCTTGTAATCATCTTGATGATCTCTGACTCGCTCACTGCTCACAGAGTATGTGTTTCTTGGGAACACCATACGGTAGTACAGTTCTGCGGCCGTGCACGGTGCCAGTGGACTCGGGAGATCAGACTCCGACTCTCACCGTCAGGCTGGGCCCGGCCCCCGGTAGTTGATCATAACTTTAGTACACAACTTGGCAATAGACCCGGTGAGTGGGGCCGGGGGCACTGCCGGGCCTAATAGGCCCCCGGCCGCACTGAGTGCTCAGTAGTGAGCAGTCCGATCACTAGGCTTTGAGTTTCAGTTCGACCCTTAGAGTAGGGGTCAGTTCTGCATGCCATCGGTGGGTGGGGGTTTGAAATTCGCGGGAAATGTCACTGCGGTGGAGGGTGGAAAGGGGGCGAGGAGGGGAAGGGAAAGGAAAGGATGATGATGATGATGATGATGATGATGATGATGATGATGATGATGATGATGATGATGATGATGATGATGATGATGATGATGATGATGATGATGATGATGATGATGATGATGATGATGATGATGATGATGATGATGGAGATGATGGAGATGATGATGATGATGATGATGGAGATGATGGAGATGATGATGATGATGATGATGATGATGATGATGATGATGATGATGATGATGATGATGAGGATGATGATGATGATGATGATGATGATGATGATGAGGATGAGGATGATGATGATGATGATGATGATGATGATGATGATGATGATGATGATGATGATGATGATGATGATGATGATGATGAGGATGATGATGATGATGAGGCTTTCGCAGGAGTAAGGGAAGTGCAGCCAACAGCAGGAGGGAGGAGATTGAGAGGGAGCAGAAGATAGGAAAGTCGAAGAGGATGCAAGGGAGTTGCTAACCAGAAAAGCTTGCTGTCTCTAGAAGTGTTTGATTTTCCCTCTCACCAGACGAAACATGCCGTTCTGAGCTCGGAAACATTCACTTTGAGGGAACGGTCAGGTCTTGAAAGTCAGCCATGTATTCTCGTCAAGCAGAAAACGTCTCGCAAGGAGGGCATGCGAGAGTGAAAGGGCCGCCGTTCAAGCAGGTCCTTCGTGGGTTGAAACCCATCATCGCTCATGACTTCGCAGGCAAGCGAGGAGGTGGAGCGGCTCTGGGGAATCGCTTCGGAGTGAGCTCCTTCCCTCTTCTGGCATCAAGTGACTCGCTGCGGTAGATGGCAGGATGCCTCCAAGGTCGAAGCCGTTCGACGGGATGGAGAACAAGCTGTGAGGAGCTTCAAGGAGGTTTCACCTCGCTGATTCCCTTGATCGCAGGTTGAAGCGAAGCAGGTCTTGCAAGCTTGTTTCAGCGACATCAGCGAGCTCCATGGCAAAGTCGATTCCTTGTACAAGAAGGCGATAGAGCCCGACCCCGAGCTGCAGACGTCAGCCACGTGTTTGTCCTTGTACGGCGCTGACTCTTGCTCAGGTATGGACCTGCGATGAAGGAGAAGGTGAAAGAAACGAAGACAGCACAAGTCGTCACCTCATGATGACCCCGATGAAGGTGTTAAACTTGCACAAGAGATACGTGGAGTTGAAGGATTGGGCCGAGAAACTCAGAGTACATGTCGTCTTGGCGTTCATGCTGCTTACATGGCGTGTTGTCCCAGCAAAGTCTACAAGAGATCTTTGTGGTGGCTGATGAGTTCGACGAGCAGAAGAAGCGACAGAAGTTGCCTCATGCATCTTGGGACAGTCTCAAGAGATTGAAATTGATGCAGGGTGCTGGAAGAAGAACGTATGCGAGCGGAAGAAGCGGAAACATTGATCAAGGAAAGGCAAAGGGAGGAGGAAATCAGGCAGCAGCGACTTGTACTACAACATGATGTTTCCTTGCTCTCCTTGATTCTTCAACCAGCAGGAGGAAGAAGCCAAGAAGCAGAAGGAGGAGGAGGAGAGGCAGCGTTACCTCGAGCATGCTCGGGCAAAATTGCTCGAGGCCGAACTGGTCCGATACTCTTGTTTCTCATGAGGAGCAGGAGGACTGATTGGTGCCATGCAGAGGGAGCGCTCGGCTGCCAAGGGGGAGGGGAGCGGTATAGCAAGATTTTCTTGGCTGCGTCTGACTTGCTACCCCCAGCTGCAGCTGTCGCGGCCTCCTCGGACGGATGGGTGACAGGTAGGATGAGTCGCGATACCTAGAGACGATGACTGGCCTCAAAGATCCCATCCTCGAAGGAGGCGAAGAGCTGACGCTGGAGATGGCAATTGAAGTGAGGAAGAGTGGCGGAGGAGGAGGAGGAGGAGGAGGAGGAGGAGGAGGAGGAGGAGGGAGGAGGGAGGGTTGGCCGGTGGGAGTGACGAAGGCACTATTTTGCAGCTGCAAGAGCAATCTGATATGAGAAGAAGATCACGTTAGGGTAGGACGATGCTG